AGAAAGTAGTATAAAATTTAACTTTTAATCGAAAACCTACTAAAATCGATAACTAAATATTCTAAGAGATAAATAGTAGCACAGAGAGAAGAGATTCCTAATGGATCAAACTGAATCCAAATTTATCTTATAGCAAAAGGTAATGCTAGAATCTATCTCACTGTTAGCAACCTAATACTGCTACTCGTTTCCTTTAGTAGTCTAAAATGTAGACTTGCTATCTACGTGTAACAAAATAGCCTCAGTTGGAGGATCGCCAAATGAATCATGTGGTCTAAAAGTTAATAGTATAGAGAGGGTAGTATGCCCGGAGCGTCACATGCAAGTGATTCTAATAACTGCCTAATAACTGCAACAATGTCCCTAGTCTGGCTCCAACCACCCACTCGCTAAACTGATCCCGACGCGCGTTTCGCCAATAATGGCTCTTCCAAGGGAACCGATCTGTATGTCGGCAGTAGTTTAAAAAGGCCGCCCTCCCCGGTGATTGGTCTACATTGCACCAATCACAAGCGAGGGGGCGGAGTCAAATGTTGGTGCCGGTTACCCACTAGTCCGTGGGGAAATCAGCACGGATTACAATTATAGTAACTGAGTGTCCATGATGGTATCAATACAGGAAGATTAATAATGTTGGAAATCATAAATGAAGTGGAATATGTAGAGGAGTACATCGGTACTTCGCAAACTAATGAATCAAAAGTGTACAAATGATGTTAACATGTAACAATGTAGATACAATTAAACCCTAGCGAAAGATAAATCGTGAAGTAATGATATATAGTTCTAATAGATCTTATATGAGTCTTTAAAGTGAAAATTTCGATGGATACAAAAAGCAAGCTTAAAGGGATAAGTCCTTCTAAAAATGAAGTAATGATAAAGAAAAATTGTTATAACTAGAAGCAGACACATTAAATATATTTCCAAGGGGCATAACAGGAAAATTAATTATAATAATAATAAACAATAAGGTATGAATAATAAGGGAAGTGGTATGATATTCCACATGTAACTAAAAAGAGGAAAGAAATAAAACTTAGTACAAGACTGGATACAAGCCCCAATAGATGTAGATAACTGTATATAACTGTATAATTAAGGATCTATGGCCATAGACTATAGTGGAGGAATGGTAATAAGTTAGAATGTATCTTGTATAAATATTTCTAATGAAAAAGCAGAGAAAGAACTTAGAGGGATAAGTCCTTCTAAAGATGAAAAATAAGTAAAAGATGTTATAACTGGAAGCAGACACATAAAATGTATTTTCCAGGGGCAAAATGAAAGACAATAAAGTATGGATAATTGGAAAATAGTGTAATGTTCCCCATGTGACCAAAGAGAAGTAAGATGTAAAACTTAGTGAGAGACTAGATCCAAGCCCCAATTGATGTAAATAACTTGTAACATTAGGGGTCTATTTATGAATGAATGGAGTGAAATTGAACTCCTCATTCAGTCCCTTGGGGTATAACGTTTGAAACAGGTAAATCCAGCGAGATTCGGCTTTCAATAATGCAATATTAATGTCGCCTTTCCTGTGGTTTTGGAAGACCTTTTGTATTACTTGAAATTTAAGTACATTAGGTCTGGAGGCATGGTTAAGACGTACGTGTCTCGCTATAGGGGTATCCATATGTGGATTTAGAATTGAGTTGATATGTTGCAAGACACGTCGACGTAATTGTTGATAGGTCTTACCAATGTACTGTAGTCCACATTCACAAGTGATGATGTAAATGACATTAGTGGATCCACAGTTAATAAAGGAGTTCACCTCTATGTCTTTCCCAATTTTTTGATTTCGTACTTTTTTAGACGGTAAGATAAAATTGCAGGCTTTACAATGCCCACATCTAAAAAGGCCTTTCGTCTCAAGCCATGTTGGCTTGATGGGTGGTGGTTTCATATGACTATGAGTTAGTAAATCTGCAAGGTTTTTGGCTCTACGATACGTTATGGAGGGTTTGTTAGTTATAGTATTCTTAAGGGATGTGTCGTATTGGAGTAGTGGCCAGTTGCGATTGAACACCTGTAGGGTATTATTCCAATTTTTATCATAGTTCCCTATGAGTCTTGTGACACCAGCAGTAGATTGAATAGTCTTGGGGGGTTTGTGTAGGCTCTCAGACCGATCTACAATTTTGGTTCTTTGGTAGGCTTTTTTGAGAATACGGTTCGGATACCCTAGATTTTTGAATCTCTGTCTGAGAATTTTTGCTTCTTTTTCATAGTCTGCAGGATTGGAACAGTTTCTTTTAGCCCTAAGATATTGGCCGTATGGCATATTGGCCTTGACATAAAATGGATGGAAACTGTCCCAATGTAATAGACTGTTTGTAGCAGTGGGTTTTCTGTATAGTGAGGTGGCTATTGAGCCATCCTCTGCCAGCGCTATTGTGAGATCCGAAAACTCTAGGTGACTCTCATGTATAACGTGAGTAAGTTGAAGGTTGATTTGATTGATATTTAAAGCATCTACCATGTCTTTAAAAAGTGAAAAAGAGCCTAACCAAAATATTAGCACATCATCAGTGTAACGAAACTGTAACGGACCGTTTAGCATAAAAGGGGAAAAAACCGCTTAGACGATAATCCCCCTTTTCAGAGATACAGGCACAGCTACTGTATAATCACCAAAACTCACGAACCGCCAATAAGTGAATGCTCCAAACTCCCGAACGGCATACAAGGGAATAAGGTAGCACTTCAAATAAACGAACAGGAACCATACGAATAGCTGCTAGCAGGCGAACAGGAAAAGCTTCCAAGCGGCTTACACTCCTGGCAATCAGTCCTTAGCAGCATACAGTAAATCCCCCCAAAGACGAGACAAGGCTCCGTGTTGAGGGTCAAGCAGTGGTCTGTTTAATGAGGGCTACCTGCCCAGCTTTTATGCAGGTCTCCCACCTGGTGGACACTCCCCTAGGGGACCAAATGGGAGACTGTGACAAGGGACAGACAAGTATACAAAAAGGACACACAGTCACAGTATATTCCCACAATGCATCCTGGCTTCCTCCCCTCTGCCCTGGGAGATAATTGGGAAGTAACTCAATTATCTCCCAAGACAAAGGCAAAACTCCATTACACACGTGGGAACACAAAAACAGCATTATACTTTAAAATACATAGAGTAACATTTACTACATTAAACACATGCATGTAACACATCCCCAGATAGCTCAGGTCTGAGTGCACATTATTAGGTGAATGGCACTCAGACTACACGAATACAGTTCAATCGCCATGGAGCCAAAGTCTTTACAGTCAGTTTCATACGAATGGGCTCCATGGGATTCCTATCTGGGGTATAAGACATTCACACAAAAATACCGAACACCGGGTCATTCGTGTGCTTTCACCGAACAAGAAGGGAGGTCGGCGGCTTCAGCGGTGTTCGCGCAAAACTGTGTCCGATTTTAGTTCCATAAAAATAGAGGCGAACACCGCTGTTCATTCGTATGGTTTAAAATGGCCGCGACCTCGTGTTCGGGATACGAACGGCGGCCACCCAGCGTTCATCAATTAAGCTGCGGTTAACCGCAGCTTCAGGGAGGTTAATTGCCGGCACACTCCAGCTCCCAGGTGGTCCAGTCATTCGTACGGTTGTTCGGTAGATTGAAACTACCGAACAACCGGCAGAAAAGCATGAATATGGCTTATCTGCATGGAAAAATAAAGTCTTTTAAAAGGGGGCCATAGTCCAAAGGCAGCAGGCGAGCAACCAGGCTTCTCCAATGCAATGTGGCGAGATTGGTCTCGTCACAGAAACCATTTGAAAATTGACGAAGTGTACTTAGCATAGATATTCGTAAACACAATAGTTTCTTCCCACCAACCCAAGAAAAGGTTAGCGTAACTGGGTGCACAAGACGAACCCATGGCAGTGCCCCGTAGTTGTAAATAATATTTCCCATTGAATGTGAAATAATTATGTGTGAGTACGAATTGTAACAGGAGCAAAATGAACTCCTGTTGCTGTGTACTGAATGTTTTTGCTTTTTTCAAGAAATAGGCTACCGCTGCTAGGCCTTTATCGTGTGGAATATTGTTGTACAACGCCACTACATCCAAACTTGCCAGGGATGTATATAGGGGCACAGTAAGATGTTCCAAAGCTAAGAGTGTTTGTTTAGTGTCCCGTATATGTGATTTTAGTCCTATCACCAGGGGCTGTAGCAACTTATCCAAGAATTGGCTTGCCCTCTCTGTTAGGCAGTGATTACCCGAAACAATTGGCCGGCCCGGAGGGTTCTGAAGGTTCTTATGTATTTTCGGGAGACAGTAAAAGGTGGCAATAGTGATATTGGACTGAGAGACAATGAATCTAAACTCATTTTGGGTAATGACATTGTCAGTACAGGCTTTTTGTACTAAAGATTGCAGTTCCGCCAGGAACTTTCTTGTGGGGTCATCCTTCAATACCTGGTAGGCCATTTTATCCATAAGATGTTGCATACACATATTGACATATTGGTCTCTTTGCATGAGGACAATGTTCCCTCCTTTGTCTGATGATTTTAAAACCACATCAGTTGCTAGTTTGAGTTCTTGTAACGCCTGTCTCTCTTCTCCTTTGAGGTTAGAAGATTGAGATGAAGAGGAAGTTTGATTCTCTAATTCGTTAGTACAAATTTGTACAAATAAATCGATACATGGAAACTCCTTCAAGTTGGGAGTAAACCAACTAGGAGGTTTGAAATTAGTCAAAGAGTCTGATGCATTCTGTTCCAAGTGTAAGTCAGTAAGTAATTTAAAGAGTGCACTGTCCTCTGGTGAAAGGCCTAAATCTTTAAGCTTTTTCAAATTGATTTTTTCGTGTAGAGCGTGTAAGGCCAGTTTACGGCCAAAAAGATTCACATCTTTGGCCCAATCAAATTGATTTATGGAAGGTGTAGGAATAAAGGAAAGACCCTTTTGAAGAAGTGATATGTGTCTTTGTTTTAGCATAAATTTAGAAAGATTTATAATTTTATTGTCCTGTGTTTTGACAACTATTGGAAGTTGGATTTCTGTGTCTTGTACCCCCATCTGTTCCTGTCTCTTAGTCTCTCCCTTTGTGGTTGTGGCCAATCCTGATCTAAAAAAGTCAGTGGTGATTGGGTTGGTCCTGCAGTGGATTCATGTCTAGAGTTTGTAATGACACTTGGATCCACTGGAGGGTCTGTGAATGTTATGTTTCTATCCGTGTTTCTCAAAATACCCTTAGTCTGCCCTGAGGGTGTATATTGAGTGAAACGGGTATTCTGCCTCTTCTGGTAACGAGGTCTAGATTCTGATTCCGACCACTCAGTCTCATCTGATGAGGAGAAGCCTTTAGAGTGTGTTTTATTAATATTAAACCTCCTTTTGTTTTTATTTTTAAAAATATTACCTTCCTGGAAATCCCTATAGTCCCTTTGGAATTTGTAGTGTTTTTTCTGTCTAATGTTTCTTTTGAAATTTTCTAAGTTTTTACTCAGCTTGTTCTCCATAGCTGAAAAGCTTGGTTCTTTATCAAAAGTTCTAATTTTCTTTATTTCAATATCCAGTTCCCCATTAGTTTTGTCTAAGCTTTGTTGTTCTAACTGAATTAGAAAATGCATAATTTTGGCCGAGCACTCCAAAAGAATGGAATTCCATTCTGCTAACTGCTCTTCGGTCTTGACTTTATCAGGTAATAAAATGTCTGGTCTAAGACCTCTGGGTACCAGTTTTTGTTCGATGTAATGTCTTAAACTGGCTAATTCCCAAAAAACCCTTAGTTGCGTTTGATATAACTTTTGTATCGCAAAGAATGCTTGATTGATATCCTTGGGTTCATTGGGTGTATTACCCAAGGGTTTATTAGAAAAGACGTTTGCCACATCTTCTGATGAGAAGTCCGGATGCACAACCTGTTCTAAAAGATCTGTCATCATAAACCTACTTCTGGAAATTGTCACCCTATAGTACGTTTGGAATCTTGAGTGAAATTATGTATGTAAACCTAATAAAACGTACTCCCTGTCCTAAAGGATTGGTATTGAAACCTGATGCAAAATTTCAAAACTAAAGAGAAAAGAAAATAGGAACAGGGGTATAGAATCGGGTTGCTAATAGAACGTGGGGGGTAACCCCTAGTATCTAATGTAACGAAAGAGGAAAGCAAAACAAATGTAGAGACACCTAAGGGTTAAATCAGTCAGTCCCAGAGATTCCCTACATATGCATAGCAACCCAAAAGAAAGTAGTATAAAATTTAACTTTTAATCGAAAACCTACTAAAATCGATAACTAAATATTCTAAGAGATAAATAGTAGCACAGAGAGAAGAGATTCCTAATGGATCAAACTGAATCCAAATTTATCTTATAGCAAAAGGTAATGCTAGAATCTATCTCACTGTTAGCAACCTAATACTGCTACTCGTTTCCCTCAGTAGTCTAAAATGTAGACTTGCTATCTACGTGTAACAAAATAGCCTCAGTTGGAGGATCGCCAAATGAATCATGTGGTCTAAAAGTTAATAGTATAGAGAGGGTAGTCTGCCCGGAGCGTCACATGCAAGTGATTCTAATAACTGCCTAATAACTGCAACAATGTCCCTAGTCTGGCTACAACCACCCACTCTCTAAACTGATCCCGACGCGCGTTTCGCCAATAATGGCTCTTCCAAGGGAACCGAACTGTACGTTGGCAGTAGGGACGAAGGCGAGGGGGCGGAGTCAAACGTCGGTGCCGGTTACCCACTAGGCCGTGGGGAAATCAGCACGGATTACAATTATAGTAACTGAGTGTCCATGATGGTATCAATACAGGAAGATTAATAATGTTGGAAATCATAAATGAAGTGGAATATGTAGAGGAGTACATCGGTACTTCGCAAACTAATGAATCAAAAGTGTACAAATGATGTTAACATGTAACAATGTAGATACAATTAAACCCTAGCGAAAGATAAATCGTGAAGTAATGATATATAGTTCTAATAGATCTTATATGAGTCTTTAAAGTGAAAATTTCGATGGATACAAAAAGCAAGCTTAAAGGGATAAGTCCTTCTAAAAATGAAGTAATGATAAAGAAAAATTGTTATAACTAGAAGCAGACACATTAAATATATTTCCAAGGGGCATAACAGGAAAATTAATTATAATAATAATAAACAATAAGGTATGAATAATAAGGGAAGTGGTATGATATTCCACATGTAACTAAAAAGAGGAAAGAAATAAAACTTAGTACAAGACTGGATACAAGCCCCAATAGATGTAGATAACTGTATATAACTGTATAATTAAGGATCTATGGCCATAGACTAGAGTGGAGGAATGGTAATAAGTTAGAATGTATCTTGTATAAATATTTCTAATGAAAAAGCAGAGAAAGAACTTAGAGGGATAAGTCCTTCTAAAGATGAAAAATAAGTAAAAGATGTTATAACTGGAATCAGACACATAAAATGTATTTTCCAGGGGCATGTCAGGAAACTGACAGGGATCCAATACGCAGAGTGCGCACAGAAGGAGGTACGTATACCGGACCTTAGAATGGCCGGACTAACGTAAGGACAAAGCAAGAATAGTCAAAAGGTAAGCCGAGGTCAAGGGAGCCGGAGGACAGGTAAGCGAGATACAAGCCGAGTCAAAGGAGAGGAGAGGACAACAGGACAAAAGGCAAGCAAGGGTCAAAACCGGAAACACTAGATAAAGAACGCGCTGAGTGACTAGCAAGCTAGAACCACGACAGGGCAATGAGCAGTAGTAAAGGTTTCCTTTAAATACCCTGTTACCTAAATAGAGACCACGCCCCCAAAAGGTCCGGAATAGCGGTTCCCGGCACTTTATGCAAATGCCGACGTCATGACGTCGACGCTAGCCGTCGCGTCATAAAAGGGGGAGGAGCTAGCGCGGCCGGCGCGAAAACGGCCGGAATATGCCGAAATGCTAGGGGAAGGGAGCCCCTAAGCAGAGAGGATGTCCTCCCTGGATACATCACCAACAGGTACCCTGACAGTACCCCCCCTTCTAGAAACGCCCACCGGGCGGATGGGACCTGGCTTAGAAGGAAAACGAACGTGGAAGGCCCGTAGAAGACGAGGAGCATGCACGTCTATACCAGGAACCCAAGACCTCTCTTCTGGACCATAACCTTTCCAGTCTATGAGGTATTGCAGCTTCCCCCTAGAAATACGAGAATCAAGGATGGACTTGATGATATATTCCTCCTGACCATCCACACGGACCGAGGATGGAGGAGTAGAGCGGGAGGAAAATCTGTTACAAACAAGAGGTTTCAATAAAGACACATGAAAAGAGTTAGGGATGCGTGAGTAGGAGGTAGATCCAGCAAATAAGAAACCGGGTTGATCCTCCTCAGTACCCTGTAAGGACCAATGTAACGAGGAGCAAACTTCAAGGAAGGAACTTTCAGGCGAATGTGTCTGGTACACAACCAGACCCTATCCCCCGGAGAAAAAATAGGAGCAGGACGTCTACGCCTATCAGCATGTGACTTAAACACCGCGGAACTACGTTCAAGAATTTGTCGAGTCTGATCCCACAACTTTCTCAGGTTGGCTATATGAATATCAACCGACGGTATACCCTGGGAAGGAGACACCGACGGAAGAACAGTAGGGTTAAAGCCATAGTTCAAGAAAAAGGGGCTATTATGAGTGGAACCACAAACAAGGTTGTTGTGAGCAAACTCCGCCCAAGGAATCAGACCGACCCAGTCATCCTGGTGTTCAGAAACAAAACAACGTAGATATTGCTCAATTTTTGGTTAGTGCGTTCGGCTGCTCCGTTAGATTGAGGATGATAGGCCGAAGAAAAATTCAGTTTGATGCCCAACTGTGAACAGAAGGATCTCCAAAAACGGGAAATAAATTGGGAACCCCTGTCTGACACAATCTCATTGGGAATACCATGTAAACGGAAAATTTCTCTAGCAAATATCACGGCCAGTTCGGGGGAGGACGGAAGTTTAGGCAAGGGAATAAAATGAGCCATTTTAGTAAACCTGTCAAGGACCGTGAGTATAACTGTATGCCTATTGGAAGCTGGTAGATCAACAATAAAATCCATAGCCAAGCAAGCCCAAGGTTTGTTGGGAACGACTAAGGGCTGCAATAAACCACAAGGGAGATCCCGCGGAAGTTTATTCCTGACACAAACATTGCAAGCCTTGACAAAGTCTTCCACATCCCTACGTAAACCGGGCCACCAGAAGTCTTTTGAGATCAGGCAGTAAGTTTTGTGGATGCCGGGGTGACCAGCGATCTTGCTATCGTGGAAACAGCGAATAATGTCCACTTGGAATTTGGGAGACACGAACAAGCGGCCCACAGGAGTACGTTCGGGAGCAAGAGATTGTTCGTTCTGAATATCAGCGAGCAATGGAGAGTGTATTTTGACATTGGTGTTGGCGATAATATTGACTCCAGGAATAATAGGGAACAAAGTATCCTCTGTAGAGGTGGTAGGTTCGTGCTGACGTGACAAAGCGTCTGCTTTAGTGTTCTTAGAACCAGGCCTGTAAGTAAGCACATAATTAAAGTGTGTAAGGAACATAGACCAACGTGCCTGCCTGGCAGATAATCTTTTGGCCTCCCCCATATACGATAAATTTTTGTGGTCAGTCAGGATAGTAACTGGGAGGACGGTGCCCTCTAACAAATGTCTCCATTCCTTTAATGCCATAATGATAGCTAAAAGTTCTCTATCACCAATGTCATATCTCCTTTCAGTGTGTGACAGTTTCTTGGAAAAAAAACCGCAAGGGTGCAGCGGCTTATCTAAACTTTGTCTTTGGGATAACACTGCGCCTATCCCTGTTTCAGACACATCAACTTCAAGTAAAAAGGGTAGAGAGGTATCAGGATGAACTAATACAGGTGCTGAGGCAAAAGACTGTTTGAGCGTTTCGAAAGCAGATAAAGCCTCAGTAGACCAGGTTTTGGTATCGGCCCCTTGTTTGGTCATATTAGTGATAGGAGCGATAACAGAGGAGTACCCTTTAATAAAACGTCTGTAATAATTAGAAAATCCAAGAAATCTTTGTATGGCTTTGAGTCCCTTAGGTAAAGGCCAATCTAAAATCGATTTTAGT